GGCTGAATTGCACAAAACGCATGATCGCACCGGCTAGTCTGGTGCGCGTTGCCATTTATTTAACTTTTATTCGTGGGTTTCGATTCTTTGACGTTGGCTAATTACTATTTTTTTTTTTTGAGTGAAATGAACCACGTTTTTAAGGACAAGCGTATTAACAATCAATGGCCTGTTCAACAAGATGGAGTAGGGCAGAAGCCCTACTCGACCACTAAGTTTTCCTTTACAAAGCTGCGGAAGGGAGTGAGGGACGGAGGAAAGTTGAAGAGGGAACGGACAAGCCTGCTGGGAAAGTAGGAGGCAGAGGAGTGGACGAAAGCGACATGCCAAAATTTAGTGTATGGAGAAAAAAGGACAAAAATGGCCGCGCACTAGGGTGGCCGGTGCAATCATGCGTTCTGCGCAGTTCCGTTCGGTAGACGCTTGCCTCTAAAAATATAAATGTTTTACATTCTTGCGTGCTGTATGGCTCCTAAGGTGAGGAATTTCTCACTGAAAATCTCATGTGCCGGTACACGAAATTTGAATTTGGGACCCTGGATGGGGAAAATCCTTCCAAATTTCAACCTCTCAGTTTTCTAGCTTCCAAGCTGGTGGCTTTCACATCAAAACTCTCACGCGGTCGTGCGTAAGAGCTCAGCATAACTGGGAGCTAAGTTTGAGTTTGCGAGGTACCCGCACAGGCAGAAAGCATCCCTCTGGAATTTCAGCCTCACAGCTCTCCTAATTATCAAGATAATTTTCCCCACCAATACTTTTGCGGGGCCGCACAAGAGGTCCAAGCGAAAATGAAAGTTGCATTTGATTCTGCTAGGTCGCATTCTCCCGAAATTTCAGCTTCCTATCTTTTATGGCATCCGAAATAGCAATTTCCCCCCGCAAAACTTTCACGGGAGCATGGCTGGGACCCAGGCTTGACTAAAAACTGATTTTAAATTTACAGGTCTGCACGTGATGAGGAAACATTTTTGTCAAATTTCAGCTTCCTAGCTTTCATGGCTTCCACGACAATTTTCCCGCTAAAACTTTCAAGAGGCCGTACGTAAAATCCAAGCGCACGGGAAAGCTGAATTTAAATTTTCTCTTGGTCGCATGCATGCAGGGGAAACGTCCATAAAATTTCCGCTTCCTAGCTCCCTTAATTCCCGAGATAAGTTCCCAGCCAAAAATTCCACAAGACCACACGTGTCACCTGCGAGCACGGGAAGACTAATTTTAAATTTGCGGGGTCACATGTGGGCGGGAAATATTCTACTAAAATTACAGCCGCCTAACCGCTGTAGTTTTCGAGTTGAAAGTGTTGGACAAAATGCACTCGGACATAAACACACACACATACAGACAATTCTGCGACAATATGCGTTTGTGTTGCTGTTACACAAAACGCATAAAAATCTGAACTAACGGCGTTAAATCTTGTCAAACATGTACCCAAAATTCACCAACTTGTGATGAAAGGCGATCAGTTTAGTTCTAAAGCGCTTACCCTAAGCTTCTCAAATTAAACAAACAGAGAATCAATTATTACCGTTGTACAGGCACACTATCAGCCACAATTTGCCCCTAATCAGACTCACTTAACGTTTTAAGAACAAGCGAATTTGCAATTCAGATTTGTCAGTGAGGGCGAACTAAACAGGTACGCTCTTTTTATCATAATTTCAAGGATAGATCAAATCAGTCACAATGCCTGAAAATAAACGAAATTCCAGGAATGCTAAACAGTGCTCCACCAAAAGCCGGAAACTTACGTAAATTCAAACATTTTTTCTCGCTCTTCAAACATCCAGAACAACGGTGTCATTGCACCTAAATCCAACGCATGTGTCGTAATACCCATTAAATGATTCTGGATTCGTGTTAGCTCATTCATAAGTGCTAAAAATACATCATCGCAGTCTGTATTCAGAAGCAAGTCGTACAAAACCTCAAGTAAGGGAGCGGGGTACCAATAAACCAATTTGGACATTCAGCACTACATAACCGCAAAAGCTTATACATCCAGAATCTGCGTTCGAGTAGCAGCAACGTTCACTGCAAAAAGAGAGAGAAGCCCAACACAGATCGAACTAGAGCCGTCCATTCCACTGAGATGCAGCTATGCATAACTGCATTCAATTACAAGGGGACAGCTGTTTTGCCTCTGCTAATATACATCCTCGAGAGCTCTACATTTCCTCCACGGTCATCCGTATGTGTTAAGTTGAGGGTAACAGCAGCTCCTCATACAGCTCATGTTATGATGCGCATATGTGAAAACTAGAAATTAAATGCCTTAGTCGCCCGGGTTCGCCTATAGCCGTTAAAATGACCACTGTTCAACGTGACTCTAACAAGACATCGCTTGATTTCTTCCATTTATTTGGTCCCATGGAAGGAAACGGTTTGTAATTTGATATGACCCACAGTTGAGCGTGGATGTATGAGGAAGTTAGCCTCAAGACGTCAAGGTTCCTTACCAGGCCTCGAGCTCCGAACACAGGCTAACCTGAAGAGTGCCGTGTTGCACTGGTCAAAAGTCATCAAGATATTCAAGAAAAATCAACAAGCACTGTTGTGAGAGACATACTTCGAATGAATTTGGCTCTTTGCGGTATATCGATTCCCAGCAATTTCTCAACAGCCAGGGCAAATGCAGTTTCATTGCACATCATCGACACGTAGTCCATGCGATCGAAATACGGCACTGCCTGCGTGTACGTCTTGTGTTCGATGAGCTTTTCGGTGCCGCGATGCAGCAGACCGATATGTGGTGTTGCCTTTACGACCATCTGCAACAGGTATACGATGAGAGCTCTGGCTGAGAGAGAGAGAGAGCTGGACCAGCAAAACTGTTGCAAGCCCTGCTGCTCCTCTAGGCATTCGCCTGCGTATTCGTCCAACGACACTTACATGTTTAAAGTTGCCTCATCAACAGCCAGTATGCGGAGCCAGTGGGGAACTGGAAATAAAACTGCCCTGCAACAATCTGGTAAATGCAGTAACCAAATTCACGGCAAAACTCCACGTCAGTTTTAAACAAGCACATCCACAAATTCCCATGATGGAGAGCTGCGGAGGGGTACTCACTTCTTAAAACATTTCTCCTCAATAACTCGCTTTCGGGAAAGACTTCTAACCGCCCCTGCAGCGACTGACCTTTGTGATGACGAAAAGAAAGACCCACGCTGATATCGATACCAGATATATTTCACAAAAATCAACTTTTGCAAATTGTGCCGTAAGAGATGTTGAAATCACGCTTTACTCTCCTTCCTTTCAGGATATCTGCAGTTGCCAAACAGGAAAGGAACTGGCTAAAATGGCGTGGCAAGATCAGTAAATAGCGGGGACAGTCAATGCGATCATGCGTTTTGTGCAATTTCGTAGGGTCTGTTAAGAATTTTCACTGCTTTACACTTTGATCTGTGCAAAAATAATCGTTATATTGTGTGATTCCTAAGCTGCGAAGTTACCCATTACGAAATTAACGTATCGGCACGCGAAACGTGGGTGTACGTGAAAGCTGAATTTGAAACCTTGGACAGTGGACACTATTCCAAAATTTCCACCTCCCGGTTTTCTGGCTTTCGGGTGACCTTCGTGTCAAAACTTTCACGTGGTCGTACATTAGATCTCCGCGTACTTGCGAGCTACGAGCTTCTGAGGCTCCTGTATAATCAGAAAACATCCCCCTGAAATTTTCAGTCCCCCCCTCCTCCAGTTCTTCCAGCTTCCGAAACAACAAATTTCCCCGAAAAAACTTTCAAGGGGTCAAACATGAGATCAGGCATACGTGGATGCTGAATTTGAATTTACAGTATCGTATGTGGGCAGGGAAAATTGCCCCAAAATTTCAGCATCCTAGCTTTCATGGTTCACGAAATAATAATTCCCTACCAAAACCTTCACGGAGCCGTACTAATACTCAGAGATAATGTGAAGGCTGAATTTAAATTTGCTGAGCCGCACGCGGGCAAGAGAGGTTATCCTAAAATTCCAGTTTCCTAACTTTCGTGATTCCTGAGATAATAATTTTTCTCGGCGAGACTATCACGGAGACGTACGTGATCCCCAGGCGGGATTAGAAGTGGACGAGGAATATTATTCTAAAATTCCAGCTTCCTAGCTTTTGTAGTTCCCGAGTTGAAAGCTGCGCACAAAATGCACTTGGGCACACACACACACATACAGATGCAGACAAGCCCGTGACAATATGCGTTTTGTGCAGCTTTTGCACAGCACAAAATGCATGACAGATACCTCGTGATCCAGCTCCAGCATCAAGCGCAGGACCCCATGCGCCGCCGGATGCTGCGGCCCAAAGTTCAGCACATAATAGTGCAGCGGCTTCTCGTGTGTTTCGCTCAGATCCGGCAACATCGGTTGCCGCAGAGACCTCTCGAAGACCTTATCTAGTCCGACATTCTTCTCGTATTCAGTGGCTTCCGGCGCCCAAGTTCGTCCAATCACACTGGACTTCTGCAATTCAAAATTCCGAAAACAGTGACTATTCAAACAGCGGAGAAACCTTTCTGTCAGCATGTCACTCTGAAACCGCTCGTCTGGGAAGAAATGCGAAAAAAATAATTTAAATTTCAATCGCAGAGTGTAAAACTTAGTCAAAACGAAGCGAAAAAAAGCATATAGTTCCAGCAAATTCCTATCGAAATCAGTTGAGAAGTATTGAACGTGGACAAAAAAGAGAAATAAACGAGCCCAGATCAAACAAATTAATTGCGGAAAAAATCAGAGAGAGAGCCACATTCGGAAGAATGAATGTGGCCCAAAAAGAATATGATTTACGATGATACAGTGCTCTGCTTAACAGAAGCAGCGTACTGCACTCACGAACACTACCACTGCCTTAAAAAGATTTCCGCTAACAAATTATGTTATGTAACCGACCAAACCAGTCATCAGGCTGTCTGCGCAAGACAGTGACAAAAAATGGTGAAAAATAAGCAAAAAAAAAAAAAATATTTGGATAATTTTTCGGTTGATAAAAGCAATTTTTCCATAACTGTGGAGAAAACCCATTATATGCGCTTATCAAGGGACAAAATACAAAGTAGAAACCAAACCGCCACTAAAGGTCGGGCCGAGTAAGAAGATGAAACCGCAAACATAAGACGAAAAATGGTGAAAAAAAAACAAAAAAATGTGTTCACTCGAACAGTATGTCTCTCCTGTTGATTTTTCCTGAATACTACGATCGTTTTTTTAAAAAAATGAACTGACCCATGAAACACAGCACCGTTCAGGCTAACCTGTGCCCATGGCTCGAGAACTAGCCAAAAAACGGCAACTATAATTCTGTCATCTTATGATTCGTATGTATAAATGGAGTTCCGAACTGAACTCAGACTACACCTTATGGCAAACCGAAGATATTTGTAGCGAAGTGGCGATTTCGAGTACTGGACAAGTTACAAAACTGAATTTTGCAGAGATATTCTATATTCAAGCGTAGTCCAAATTCGGTTTGGGGCAAAAATTTAACTCTGGCCAAAGCACTCAAATATTCTCGTTACTGTCTCTGCCTTTTACAATATCTCGTCAGATATAGTACGATCCACGAATAGAATATGACACAGACAAAACTCTCATGTGTAACGGCAACGAAACGCCAGCACTACCGGCAGACTAATTAACGGGTGATCCAGCTTGCTCACACCGATCATTAATAGGTTACTGGCTGGACATTTTACAGCCATCAAGCCAACTCCATGTATCTGATCTTTGACTCATCTGGCAGAACTGATTCAGCAAATAAGTCATTATTTGAGAATCCAGTCATGTAGAATTTCAAACGACGCTAGCTCAGGCTGTTTTAAATTTGAGATATCTAACCGAAAACTGGGCATTTCGGAGAGAGAGAAAATTTGCCTAGCGCCGCTTGTTACTCGTAAAATTGACGCTATAACCCAGGTAGAAACACGCATCAGAGTTCCCTGTGTGGTCATCCGTTTCTGCGCAAAACATGAAACAGTCAGGTCACTAATAGAACAGCTTCGTAAAGTAGGAAGGGCAGTACGAGTCGTAACGGCCCTATGGGCATCATGCCAAGAAAAAGCTGCAAAGAGCCCGCGGAGAAGACTATAAACAACGTAAAATCTAATCTTCAGCATAAATGATTGCCGTAAACTTTGCAAGAGGGGAAAAAAAAATCGCTAATACCAATCATACACTGAAAATGCAAACTAGACAGTGCGCAGAATCTGAAGAAGAATGACGAAATCCGGACAAAATGCACCCGTTTCTGCGACAGAAGTGAGCATTTGTCGTGTCCGTATGCAGAGAATTTAGCCACCAAGCTGGGTTCAGAGCACACATAATAAAGAATATCCTTGTAAAATTTCAACTTCACAATTTGTCCGGTACTCGAAACCGCTATTTTGCTACAAATACCTTTGATGCCCTAAGGTGTAACGTACTTCGAGACCCCATTTAGTTACACGAATCCCCAGATGGAAGACAAATATTCGGGAAAAAACTACAGCTACCGTTTTGCGGCTAACTGTACAGTTTGCGTGGCACCATGTGCGAACCTTAACGTGACCATATGCACGATGCAAGTGTGCATGATAGTTGAATTTGGAACCCTCAGCTCATACGTGCTCCGGAAACGCACTTGCAAAATTGCAGCCTTCTACCTTACCTGTTTCTCGAAATCGTTTTCCGCTAAAAAATAATTTACATGTTTTCTTTCAGCCGCCCGTATGTACCTGCACGTAGATCTTAAAACGGTAGGGCGGCAAATCGTGTGTGATTTCGGAATATGCTTCTGAAATTTCAGCTTCCTAGATCTGTGGTTCTCGAACTGAAAGTGCGCACAAAATGCACTCGGGCACACACACACACACACACACACACACGCATACACACATATACAAGCGTACACACGAAGACAGAAAAGGGAGAGCGGGGAGGTGATAATATGAGTTTTGTGGAGCTGTTAAACAGAAAAAAAATGCATAAAAGACAGATGCCGTGAAGTTTTCTGCAAATGCATCACATATGTATGTATACATCTAACAGCATAAATAAGAAATTACCTTAAACTGCCGCATAAACTCAGCGTCTGGAAACCAGAGAGTATGCGATCTCCGTTTCAGGACTTGTCCAGCAATGCACCGATGTCCAGTTAGTATCCAAAGGCCTCGAACCACTCTGGCAGCCATGCCCCAGCTCGACCCCTGCAATATTGCTTTGCAGACGCCGACAGCAACTCCCCTCGAGAACGAACTTACGCCCTCCCGAGAAATAACCAGAACGGGAAAATGGTGCTCACTGCTCTCGCACAGAGTGTAAGGGCCAGCCCCTCGGATGAACAGCCTAGCAACCACCCCAGACCCGACACTCACCGCAAACAAATTTTTTGGTTCGAAATGTCGCTCGAACATCCACTATCGGCCTAGTTAATGGCAATTGCTAAAACTCGGCTCGACCCGGCTAATGATCTATGGTGCTTGGGCCTTTCAGCGCTTTGCTCTGTCATCTCCGCCAATGCTATTTCGCGGCGCCGCTCGTTGGAAATTTGCCAGACCCGGTGGGTAGCGCTGCCCAGTGTATAGCGGCTGGATCACGCGAGCGGGGAAGGAGGAGGGAGGGAGGGGAGGGGATAAGGGGATGGATGGGTGGGAGGATTGGACGTGTTTGGGGGGTTTTGGTTGGTAGTTACCTAGATACAGCTCAGGGAAGCATCTAAGGCCAGGATAATGGGGAGGAATGAAGATGGTGGTTAGGAGTTCACGACGACAAATAGTGACAGTGGTTGAAGGTGGTAGGTGCCCCGATGCGACTCTGGAGGCAGGGATTGGGGACAGGATACAGGAGGGGAAGAAGGGCGCTAGTCAGGAGTTCGAAGCAAGAACTGCAGATAGCAGTAAAGAGGAAAATAGACCAGCACGGCACCACAAAAAGTAAATTAAGACAAAGTTGATTTTGTGAATAAAAGGAAATAAATAGCAACGCGCAGCAGACTAGCCGGTACGATCATGCGTTTTGTGCAATTCAGCCCATCGAACGATTGCCATTAATGATTTTCACTGCTTTGTACTTTTGTATATGCAAAAACAGTTCAAACATTGAAAAATAGAAATTTCACGCACCAGCGCATGAAAGCTGAATTCGAAACCTTCCGTGATTCCCAAGTTAATAGCTTACCCGCCAAAATTCTCACGAAGCCGTAGGTGACACTCAAGAGCGAAGGGACGCTGAGTTTGAATAGGCAAGGTTAAGCGTGGGCAGGGGGTTATTACCCTAAAATTTCAGCTTCCTAGACCCCGTGGTTCCCGAGATAATAATTTACCCGTAAAAACTTTCACTAGCCCATAAGTGATATCCGGGAGCACGGGAACGCTGAATTTGAATAGGCAAGGTTAAGCGTGGGCAGGGGTCATTACTCTAAAATTTCAGCCTCCTAGACTCTGTGGTTCCTGAGGTACTAATTTACCCGTAAGAAATTTCACTAGCGTAGGTGATGCACGAGAGCGCGGGAACGCTGGATTTGAATGGGTAAGGTTGGGTGTGGGCAGGGGGTCATTACCCTAAAATTTCAGCTTCCTAGACCTCGTGGTTCCTGAGATATTAATTTACCCGTGAAAATTTCATTAGCCCGTAGGTGATACCCGAGAGCGCGGGAACGCTGAATTTGAATAGGCAAGGTTAAGCGTAGGCAGAGAGGGGGCATTACCCTAAAATTTCAGCCTCCTAGACTCCGTGGTTCCCGAGATATTAAATTACCTGTAAAAAACTTTCACGGGGCCATACGTGTTACGCGCGGGTACGGGGAAGCGGAATTTAAATTTGCGGGGTCACACGTGGGTGGGAACGTTCCCCCAAATTTTGAGCGCTTTCCTAGCTTTTGCGTTCCCGAGTTGAAAGTTGCGGACAAGTTGCTGCGGACACACACACACACACACACACACACACACAGACAACCCCGTGACAATATGCGTTTTGTACTGCTGTCACACAGCATAAAACACATAAAAAACGCTTGATCGTACCGCGCGCCTGGTGCGTTCCAGCCTGGGTTGCTGCTTGTTGCTGCGCTCTATCGCTGCATGGCGAAAACGCATGGAAAGTAAACCTAAGGCAATATAAATAGCAGCCATACCACAACAGCCGGTGCAATCAAGCGTTTTGTGCAATTCCGTCCACCGAATGATTGTCAGTTAATGATTTCCACTGCTTTGCACTTTGGTTTGTGCAAAAATGGTTGAAATGTTGAAAAACAGTTAAAAATTTCACGCATCGACACGTGAAAGCGGAATTTGAAACCTCGATGGGTGAATATCCTTCCAAAACTTGATCTCCTAATTTTCTGGCTTTCGAATAATCTTTGAGACAAAACATTCAGGTAGTTATACTGCAGACCTCGACATTCTTAGGAATTGAATTTGAGTTTACAAAGCCCTTGCTCAGGCATTCTCCTGAAATTTTTAGCTCCCTAACTCGTCTGGCTCCCAGGATAATGATTTTTCTTGCCAAAAGTTCCACGAGAACGTTGAAAATTTGCGTTTTACGTGGGCAGGGGA